TGCTTTGTCCCTGGGTCCTCGGGCCCACAGGTTGGAGTAGTTCAGCAGCATGTGCCCCCCCACACCCCACCAACCATTCCCTTCCTCACCCCCCCACCCCAGTCCCTGAAGGCTGACCCAGATGCAGTCTGAAAGATGGGTCACCTGCACCCGAATTGTACTTGAGTCTGCATCACCTAAGTGCTGGGGTTCAGGGATCTGGGGGTACAGTTCTTGAGGACAACCAGGCTGCCCATGGGTCTTCAGGCCAATGAGCAGATCATCAGAGGAAGTGCTGGAATGTGGCAGGAGGAAGTGGGGGCCATGGAGGGACATTTTTCTCTGTAACCCTCCCCCACCCCTAGCCTAGTGGGCAGAATGAGCAGAAGGCTTCAGGGAGAAGCTTTTACACCCCAACAGAAAAAGGAGGCCTTTAAAGCTTTGAAAGTGCTGGGAAAAATAAAGGGATATTATTCACCCAGCAGGTGGTAAATAGTCCCAGCTAATGACTATGTGGCACCTGACATTTTCCAAAGTACCTTCCAAAAACCAGCTCACTTATATTTATGACAGCCCTGAGAAGAAACTGTCATTATTATCAGTCTTATGTTACGGGTGAGAAAACAGAAGCTCAGAAAGGTTCGGTGGTGTGCCCAAGGTCACACAGCTCAAACTTGGACCTTCTGATCCCCGATCCTCTAGTCTTTCCACCGGTGCTGCCTCTCCAGCCTCAAGTGAGGAACTGTTTGTCCTCAAGAGGATGTGCTGGCCTCTCCTCCAGAGTTAAGTGCAGTTAACTCTGTTAGGGACATCATTCTCCAGGGCTAAATGGAGATGTTCCTGACTACCCCAAGGTAGCCTCATGTGGTGTGTGCTGAACCTCAGGAGCTGGAGGAGAGGGTGGGTGTGACAAAGGAGGAGGAGGATGAAGGGAAAGGTCCTGGTAGAAGACACCGGCTAAATAAGGAGCCTTTGTCACTGACCGGGCAAGAAGTAGGAGCAGCAGGCTACATTTACAATGGGTAGATTTCATTGGTTTGAAAGGGACTTACATGTTGACCTGGGAGTAGAGATTCCCCTGTGGCATCAGCGAGGGGTACAGACACCTGGCTGCTCCTGCCTCAGACCCCGGTACGGCCCCCCATCCTAATGCTGCTGGGGCTGGTCCCAAGAGGCCGACTCCCTGACTGTGGACTCACCTGCTCCCCAACTGGGCATCCAACTTGCCAGGAAGGAGTTGTGGGTAACATCTCTGTTATGGTCTGGTTGCCATGGCAATAAATTGTCACTAATTAGTAGTGCGGTTACCATGGAAATTTTCTAGTAATTACAGGTTACAAATGGTGCAAGGCTTCAACCCAACCCAATTAGTTAATTAGAAAGATTTAGAAATTTGTCCAAAAGGGAAATAACCTGCTTTGTAGAAAATGAAAGGAATGTGTTGCAGCTTGGGAGCCAGAGGCAGAAAGGAAATTGGAGGAGGCCGAAGTCGGGGAAGAAGGATGAAGCTGGATGGCTGCAAGTCCCTGAGTCCCGACTGGAATTTCCGGGGGCCTGGGCAAGGCTGAGGGCTTCTCACGGAAGCCTGCTCCTGGGCTGGAGTCTGGCAGGACCAGGGCAGGGACAGCTGCCAGCAGCCACTTAGGGGCTCCTCTTTTAATGGGAAGAGGCGGTGCCCAGGTTCCCTTTCCTGCTGGCTTTGGGGAAGGCCTCTGAAAGCCGCCCCACCCCACTCTGTGACCATCATCGTGAAAAGCAAATGCCAGGTTTTGGAGGACGCTCCCCAGGGATGATGTGGATTTAGTGTTTCCATTTCCATGAGATTTTGTCTTTCCTTGAGAGCTAATCAGATTATCTGGGAGGAGTCTGGGAGGCACAGGGCCCAGAATGTGTTGGCAAGGAGTCCAGCCTGAGAGTGATCAGAGCAGCAATGTCATTCGCCCCACCCTGGCCCACAGGCCCCAAACGCCAGCTCTGCTAGTCAGGCTGCATTTGCACAGGTGAGAAAGGCCCCAGGAATTCCTCCAGAGTCATTTCTCAGAGGACGGGAGTAGCCTAGGACCAAGGGAGCCCCTGTCTCAAATTAACACAGCCCTTTGGGGAAACTTCTGCCCATCCAGAGGTGGGCAGGCGGGTGGGGGGACTTGGCCCATCATCACACAGGTCTGCCTGAGCTCTCATTTATTTTTTTAAAAAACCAGGTTCTTCCAGGATGCTCTGATAACTATTCTTATTGTACCAAACAGCCCTTTAGAGCAGTACTTTTCAAACTTTAATGCTCGCACAAACTACCCAGCAGTGTTGTTAGATGCACGTTCTGATTCCGTAGGGGCCTGAGATTCTGCATTTCTAGCAAGCTCCCAGGTGCTGCTCCTGCCGCTGGTCCACAGGCCTGACTCTGAGCAGCAAGGTTGTAGGGGCTACAAAGCCCTTTCATATAGCTCACCTCATTGTTCTAATTGAAATATTAAAATTGTATATATTTATGGTGGACAGCGTGATGTTTTGAAATACGTACACGTTGTGAAATGGTTAAATTGAGCTAATTAACTTACGCATTACCTCACACACTTATTTATTTGTGGTGAGAACACTTAAAATCTACTCTCTTAGCAAGTTCAAGTATACAGTACATTGTTATTAACTATAGTCACCACATTATATAAGAGATCTCTTATTTCTCCTGTTTAGCTGAAGTTTTGTATCCTTTGATCAACACCTCCCTAACCTCACCCCTACCCCAGTCCGTGGTAACCACCATTTTACTCTCTGCTTCTATGAGTTCAGCTGTTTTAGATTCTACATGTAAGTGAGATCATACAGTATTTGTCTTTCTGTGCCTTATTTCATTTAATGTAACATTCTCCGGGTTCATCCATGTTGTTGCAAATGGCAGAATTTTCTTCTTTTTTTTTTTTTAAATTTTATTTATTTATTTTTTTCCCTTTTTGTCTTTTTTTTTTTTTTTTACTGACCGGTAACGGGATCGCAACCCTCGGTGTTGCGCCCACACCGCGCCCAGCCAGTGAGCGGGAACCGGTCTCCACATGGGATCCGAACCCTCAGCGGGAGCGCCGCCGCGTTCCCAAGCGGCGCACTCTCCAGTGTGCCACTGGGCCAGCCCCGTGAATTTTCTTCTTTTTTAAGACTAAATCATATTCCATTGTGTAATATACCACATTTCCTTTATCCATTCATTTGTCAATGGACACATGTTGATTCCATATCTTGGCTACTGTGAATAGTGCTGCAATAAACACAGGAGTGCAGATACCTCTTCAACATTCAGATTTCATTTCCTTTGGGTATACTCAGTATTAGGATTGCTGGATCATATGGTAGTTCCATTTTTAACTTTTTGAAGAAACTCCATACTGTTTTCCATAATGTCTGTGCTAATATACCTTCCCACGAACAGTGTGCAAGGTTTCCCTTTTCTCCACACCCTTCCCAACACTTGTAATCTTTCACCTTTGTGATAATACATATTCTAACAGATAATAGAGCTCACCTTATTTAATCCTCTCAAAAACCCTGAAGTAGGGCTGGCTGGTTAGTTCAGTTGGTTGGAGCACAGCCTTATAACACCAAGGTCATGGGTTTGGACCCCCATACCAGCCAGCCGCAAAAAAAAAAAAAAAAAAAAAAAAACCTGAAGTAGAAAAATTAGGTCAGAATATCTCCATTTTACAGATGAGTAAACTGAGTCTCAAAGGGTAATGTGAATTTCCCAAGGTTGCACAGCTTATAAGAAGCCAAGCTGGGACTAGAATCCATCTCCTGGTCCTGGTCGGCCTGTATCCTGCACAGTATTTCCAACATTTGGGATGTGGCCGAGGGAAGGCTTTCTTGGTGCAGGTTTCTTTTCCTGGGAGCAGAAGGTGGGGCCTGACAAGCAGGGAGCCTTTATTTGAAACCCGCTGGTTGGGAGTGGTTTGTGCAAGATGTATGAAGTTGAACTTCTTGACATGGATAGTTTATATTTGATCTTAGAGACTTCAAAGCCTGATATAGAGCTGGCTTGATTTCTTTTTTTCCTCTTTTTTTGAAAAAATATATACTTTATTAGATTTTTTCCTTTCAAACTATGGAAGCAATTCGTGTTGCAACAAGGCAAACAACACAAAGGTATTCAAAGAAAAGGCCAACTATTGTCTCTCCTTCCCTCCCCAAATCCTACCCTGTCAAGGTAGCCAGTGTTACCAGCCTGGGGTGTGGCCTTCCCACTTTTCTCCAAACTTGAGGAAGCTTGCACACAGAAATATCATGTATTTCCCTATCTTTTTTTAAATAAAAGTAAGACCACATGATACTATTATGTGGTGAATTGCTTATATCATGGGCACCCCTCCATGTCAATACATATGGATCTACACAGGCCTTTTAGTACGTCGTGCAGATGTACTATAATCCATTCAACCCGTTCACTACCGATGGACATGATTGTTTACTACCCCAAACAAAACAAAGCAAGCATTCTTGTACCTATAGCTGCTACCTCTAGCTGGAACCTGTTCCTGCAGATTCTTAAGACAGGAACACCCCGTGGTCTTGGCCAGCATACATGGGACTCTGAGTGGGAGTGGGTGAGGGGACTGTGACTTGGCCAAAATGTCAGGGGACTCTGACTGACCAAACTGGCGTGGCTCGAGCTAGGTTTAGGATTAGTGCAATTCAGCTGCTTCTTTTAGAAGGGAACGGAAGGGAATGGCACTGGCGCCTGTGCGGCGACCCCGTGCCCTGTGTTCCTTAGCCTATGGAATCACTCTTTTGGCACAAAGTGACAGGTCTAGCTCCTCACTGGCCTCACCAGCAGTGTCATCACCCTCCAACAGCTTTATGGAGACTGTGAGCCTGGATTTGGCTCCAGGAAACATCCAAAAGGTCAGAATTCCCCCCAAGGCTCTTCTAAGGCTCCTCTGTTGCAGCTTCTCCCAGGCCTCAGAGCAGCCCCATCCTCCAGACAGGCCTAGGGCTTTGCTTCTGCCACTCAATGACTGTGGGTCGATGTCCTCTCCTAGGGGGCCGGGGTGTCAGCGTGGGCCCCATCGTCAGCAGTAGTGCCTCGGATATCTTCTGCGACAATGAGAATGGGCCCAACTTCCTCTTCCACAACCGGGGTGACGGCACCTTCGTGGATATCGCAGCCAGTGCTGGTGAGTAGACGCAGCCGCTGCCCTGTGCTCTTGACCACCCCAGACCCACGGGGACTCCGAGCTGCCCTGCCCCCTCCAGCATGGTCCCTACCAACCTCAGGGAGAACAGGACAAGTCATCGTCCGCACCACACAGGGAAGCAGTGCCTGTCACCTCCAGTTCTACATGCCTCATGGCTCAGGCCACAGGGAATGTCTGCTGCTGGGAAGAAAGGGACTGAAACTCCTGACCATTATCATTTTCCAGCAACTGGAATTAGTCCATGACCCTCTGAGTCCCACTTGTGTCTCAGCGTCAATTTCCCCTCCAAGCTGCCTCTCCCCATCTTGGCCCCTCCCACATTTATCTTAAACATCCAGTTCAATCCAGTAACCATTGAGGGAGCCCCTGCTAGGTGCCAGGTTGGTGCTAGGAGCTGAGGATGCTGACCTGAATAAGGCATCCCACATGCAGAAAAGGCACTGACCTTTTAGAAATAGACGTATACACAAATAGCTATAATAAGAAGCAGGATAAAATCCACACAAAACAGTGCCCCGGGCTCCCCACCCTCCTTTTGTGCTCATCCCTCATCAACCTCAGGGCCTTTGCACCTGCCATTCCCTCTGCCTGGCTGCCCTTCCCCTTCTCTATCTACAGAACTTCTATTTATCCTTCAATACTCAGCTCAAGTGTCCCCTCTGTGAAGCCTGTCCTGACTCCCTCTGTGCCGCCTGCCAGAGACTGGCCCTTCCTCCTCCATGGTCCCACCACCCCTTGCATGTGTCTCTCACTCACATTTCTACGTTGTCATCGTGATTTGTCTGTGAGCTCTACAAGGACTGGGGCACCGTTCTATTCACTCTTGACATAATACTTGGCACCCAGTGGTCACCCAGTAAATTTTGCTGAATGACAGAATGGACACAATAAAAGCTTGTGGATGTAATCAGTCTGCCCTTCAACCTCTTAACCCCAAACCTTCCTCCCTCCTTGCCAAGGAATATAAGGTCTGGTTTCACCTCCTATTTGGAGGCATAGGGAAGAACACTAGCCTCTGGAAGAAGAGATGAGTGGGGATCTAGACACTTAGATCAAAGGTCCTATAAGCTCTAGCTGGTGCTAACAGTGAGCCTCAAATCCCTGAGTGTGTGCCAATCCATTTTCTTTTAATTAAGAGCACCTACTCCTCCAGCTTTCTGCTTGGGAGTCTCCATTTGGGGAAACTCCTGGCCCAGAACATCCATCTACCCCCAGCTTGTAGCCAACCAGCCCCACTTTCCTCTCCTCCTTCCCTGGCAAAGCTAAAGTTGGGGGTAGCTCCCCTGGCCTGTCCTCTCACCTGTTCACCCCTCCTGGTGCTATGCTCTGGAAGCAGATTTTCTCATTGCTTAAAAGTCATAAAGCAAAGGGGAACAGGTAGTGCAGAAAACCTAGAGGATTTGATAAGGTGTTAAAGAGATAGAAGCAGAGGTGAGCAAAGAAGTTGGAGTGGGAGAAGGTATCAGGCGGGAGGAGAGAGGCAAGGTGCTAGGCCCATAATTGAAAGTCAGAATGATTGCAGGGGTTTAACAAGACATGTCAAGAGGGCATTTATCACCCAAACAGATGCTGCTGTGAAATGCAGCCTGGCACCGATTATTCCTGTGAAAGGGAACCAGCTCCTTGTCAAGGTGCCTCATAGATAGGAGAGAAATGGGCCAACGCAGAAGGCCGCCGACGCTTGGGCTGGGGAGTTTTGTGAAGAATTGATGGGATATTAATCCTAGGGATGGAGGCTGCCCCCAGTCCTTTGCAAACCCTCTTTCTCACACCTGGGTCTTACTGCCTCTTCTCCCCCCACTTTCCATGCCGCTGGTCCTTCCTTCCCCCAAGGGGATGCTCACCTGCAAGGTTCTCAGAGGGTCCCATCCCTGCCTACTCCTGGCTCCTACCCTCAGACCTCCTGTTTGCAGCCTGCAAGAGCTCCCTGTGCCCTGGGGTCTTGGGCTCCCACCTCCCATTATATTGTGCTATTGCCCAACATCCCTGAGGGCCTGATGACTAACAGCTGTTTGTCCTCTGAAAGAGCATGGGTGGGCGTTAGAGTCAGCAACCACCATCTCTCAGCTCTGAGCTTGGCCTGGGGCAGCATGTCTGCCTTGGGCAGCCAGGAGGTCAGGCCATCACTCTGGGCAAAGCCACCTTCCATCCTCCCCCAGGATCAGCTCATTAGTGAATAGTGTAAGTGGATGACATTGGACACAGAGGCTTCCCTTCCCAGAGCTTACAAGGCACGCTGTGGGTTTCTCAGTCATGGCTGCAGTATTTCCTCTGCTGTCACCAGCATCCCCAGTGTGCTTTCTGTCACATTATTTATGTCTCTTCATTCATTCAGCAAGTACTGAAAACTACCAGGCAACCGCAGGCACTGAGACAGATGCTACATGTACACAGGTGAACCAAGAAGACAGCCCTGACCTCGGGGAGTGTCAGGTCTGGTAGGAAAACCAGACCCCAAACAAGTAAACTGTAAAGGGACTCAAATGCACACTGTGATCAGCACAGCGAAGGAAAAGAATAAGAGGCTGTCAGGGGGAGCAACAGGGTGGGTGGGAGGGTCTGATTTAGATGGGATAGTCAGGGAAGGCTTCCCTGAGGAGGTGACATGTGGCTGAGAGCAGAATAACAAGGAACCAGGTGATCAGGAGCCTGAGGGAGAGCATCGCAGTTGGAGAGACCCCCTTGAGCAAAGGCTACAAGCTGGAAAGAGGAAGGAAATGGGTGGCCAGAGCTCAGTGAGTAAGGAGAGAGGTACCAGAAAAAGACCAAGTGAGGTGGGCAGGGGAATGGTCAGACAGGGCCTTGTGTTCCCCAGGCAGGAATTTGAACTTGACCCAAGAGTACTGGGGAGCCATTGAGAGATTTAATCAAAAGAGTGACATGATCAACTTAATGTCTCCCAGGGTGGCCAGGAAAGGCTTTGGTCCTCCACAATGTCCACCAGTCTCCTTCCCCACTCCCACGCTGCCCCCAAGCTGAGCAAAAATAGCTTGCAGGGCAAACACGGCTTGAAGACAAGTCTCTGGTCCGCCTCTCCTCCCCAGGTGTGGACGACCCACACCAGCATGGGCGAGGTGTCGCCCTGGCCGACTTCAACCGTGACGGCAAAGTGGACATCGTCTACGGCAACTGGAATGGCCCCCACCGCCTCTATCTGCAGATGAGCGCCCACGGGAAGGTCCGCTTTCGGGTAAGAAGGGCCTGTCTCTCCCCGCCCCCTTCCTCCACCCCGCGCTGCAGATGGCCCTGCATGTCATGCTGCAGAGGGCCCTGCATGTCACGGAGGAGCTGCAGCCCCGTTCCGTGACCCCCACCAGGCTGAGAAGAGGCTGGGAGCTCTCCAGAGCCTGGGGTGGGGGTGGGGTCACATGAAGGTAGCATCTAGGGGACGATGGACTCCAGCCAGGCTGCTGTAAAGACTCCAGTGCCCAGAGCGGGAAGAGCCAGGTGGGCAGTGGAGGAAGAGCAGCCTCTCGGGTGGGTGGGGGCCCTGGGAGGTGGGTTTCATTCTCTGGATTGAGGCCATTTTTCCTGGAGGCTGCTGGAAACCCCATCTGTAGCTCCAGCCTGGGCTTTCAAATTCAGGTTAGACAAGGACAAAGTGGTGGGAGAGAGGGGGAGACCAAGGCCCCAGAGTTCCCAACAGCTGCCCCTGAGGACACACAGCAGAGGGTGGGCAAGGTGACCTCTCCATGCCCCCCTCCCTGAGCTGTCATTAGGTGTCAATTCGTGATGCCACGAATTCTTCAAAAGCGCTGTTTGGTGACAGTAATGGCGGTGCCACCTGCATGATGAGCTTGAGTTTGATGTTTTCTCGGGGAGGGTGACTAAGGGATCAGTGAAGCTGATCTCAGGGAGCCAGGATTGTTCCAGAGCTACCTAGGTCTTGTCCAAAAAACCCCAAGGGAATGAGAAAGTTCCAGTGTTCGCCTGAGGCTTGAAGGTCCCAGGGAAGTCTCCAGGGACCTTATGTCTTTGTGACCACGGAGAAGCCACCGCTATGAGCTCCCCCACCACTGAGGCTTGAGGCCAGGTTCTCTGGGTGGGGACAAGGCATGCCCTGAACTCAGGGCAGCTGATTCTGGGATCCTGGATGGTTTCCATCTTTATTCAGCTTTTGTTCTAACCCAGGTTCTCAACAGGGTTAATTTTGCCCCCCCCACACACACCCCAGAACATTTGACAAAGTCTGGGGACATTTTTTGATTGTCACAACTGGGAAATGAGGTGCTACTGGCATCTAGTACACAGAGGCCTGGGATGCTGCGGAACACTCTACAGTGCACAGAACAGCCGCACAACGAAGAATTATCCAGCCCAAAGTGTCAATGTGCTGAGGTTGAAGAACCCTGTTAACCCATCTGACGGTCTCTCCCCAGAGCTCACAGGAGCAATAACAATAAGAACAATAATAAGTGCCCTATTTATCAAGTGCCTTCCATGTGCCAGGAACTGTGCTAAGAGCTTTACATACATTATCTCGGAAGCCTAGGCATGCAATGGGGCAACCCCAAGGGGGCTGTAAAGGTTTCCATTTTTATAGAATCAATAGAGCAATAACCAGTTAGGGATCCTGAGGTCTTTTTGTTCCCCAGCTCAGCCCACCTTGACCAGCTGGCCAGGCTCTTAAGCTCATTACTGTGCTGACGGGGACAACCTCACTCCCAGGCCTCCCCAGCACAGGCAAGCAGCTTGCCAGCTGATCCAGGCTGGCTCGCTCCTGTGGCCAACAGAGACAGCCTGCAGCAAGAGACCGAGGGCAGGGCCACGGCTGGGGCAGGGGGACCTCCCACAGATGCTGGCTGTGGTCTACCCAGCCCTTTCCACATGGACCCTGGGACTTCAAGGGACAAACCCACCTATAATGGGGATATTCTGCTCAGAAATGAAAGGTTACCCTGCATGGCTCTCCTTGTATTTCAAAGGCAAGTGCTACACCTAGGACCTTTTTCCAGGTCCACCTAAGCCTGTGCCAGCACTTTGGAGTCCCAGCTGGGCTATCCTGGGTCTGGGGTCTCCTCATGAGTTCTGGATAGGTGTAGCTGATATTGCAAACCCCTCGAAATAAAATGTCTCCACAAAAAAAAAATTAAAAGGCTCTCAAGAAACAACATAAAGCAATAGAGGCAGCAAAAAACATAGCTAAAGCTGGCCTCTTTCACCTTCCATGAGGCTGATGGTGGGAACAAGGCCAGTCAGGTTGCCAGAGACCTGTCTCATGCCCACTCTGTGCCAAGCATTTTGCATGCAATCCTCACAACCTGGGCAGCTATTAGTACCCTGTTACTGATGAGGATGTGAGATCTGAGAGGTTGAGTAACTTGCCTAAGATCACACTCTAGTCCTTGCCGGAGCCTAGATTCAGGTGCACCAGTTTCCAGTGACCACCCAGCCTCCGACTTGCGGCAGAAGAGGAAGGATGTGCAGTCTGAAGGGCGCGGCATCTGGTATCAGAAGCCCTGGCTTCAGCCCCACTCAATAGCTGTGACTAAGGGCAAGTCCCTTCACTCTCCAGGACTCAGTTCTCTCACCTGTAAAATGGGAACCCTAAAGTCTGCACTGCCTCAAGGGACTGACAGCATGGTTAATGTGATCCAGGCTAGGGAGCAGTTAAGTGCTGTGTCTGCTGTGACTGTTATTCTTCTCTTCTTGTTCTCCTACAAGCAGCCTGGGGTTCGTGTGGTCCTAAAGGCAGCCCCCCAGGTCCCTCGGGGGACAGGGAGAGAGGAGGCGCGGGGCCAGCCTGCTCTGCCTCTGATGGGACTCCACACACCCAGCAGAGAGGGCCAGCTTCCTGCCCACTCCCACCCTCCTATCTCCTCATCTCAGCCTCTCTCCTCCAGGACATCGCCTCACCGAAGTTCTCCATGCCCTCCCCTGTCCGCACAGTCCTTGCTGCTGACTTTGACAATGACCAGGAGCTGGAGATCTTCTTCAACAACATTGCCTACCGCCGCTCCTCAGC